AGGGCGGCAGTCAGACGAGCAGTCTATCTCTAACTGGGATAGTGCAGCAGGTCGTACTTAGGTACCATTTGGGTGGCTGGGTAATGCTAGACTTAAATATCAGAAAAATTCTATATAATCTGTATAGTTTCAAGAATCCTAATAAAGTATTAGTGTGACTGCTAAAGTTAAAAATAAAAAAAAAAAAAAAAATTTACTAATTTTCTAATACTGTAATTTAGCATTTGAAAATGACTTCAAACTTATAGAATAGCTGGCATATATCGAACCTTAGTACCTTATTAAATGAGGATATTTTCATGATAAATATCATATACACTGTATATACTGTAATACTGAAATAATACTTTAGAAAATTTCAAGTAAAAAATCGCCATTTCAAATCTATAAATTAAAGATGTAAAGGAAATAAAAACCTAATAAAGGTTACCACCTCAACATATTGACCTTTGCAATTAATTCTGCTAAAAAAAAAAAAAAATTTTAATAGTACTTATTTCTAACAAAGTTTGAACTGATAACATTTGATTAATTTTATTATAATTCAAGTAAGTACCAGTAAGAAGTAAAAAAATATATATTAATTAGGGTTGTAGATACAGGAAAATTTTTGGCATGTCCTAGGACATCATGCCCACAACCCTAATATTAATACATACAACCCATTTAATGAAGTATATATTTTTACATTGAATATCTGATATGTGTGTATAGTGTGCAAAATCACATATACAAAAAGTTAAATAACAAGAAATTACCTTAAGTTAAAACTAACATATAATAGCGAAATTGAAAAAAAACATGTTCATACCCTATAAAAAATCTATTGAGATAGTAAGGCTGATATATGATTTGCATCTTGCAACTACTAAACTTATCCAAGATTACTTATCACTTGATCAGTGGCTTTTTAACAATAAATGAATTTCTTAATGTTATCTTTTTTAGCTCCAATCCTATCTTGATAAAAATTATCAAGTAAATTGATTCTATTATGTCTGCAGAAAGTTTGAAAGAATATATACTATTAGATGTTATGGAATAGATTTGGATTTGAAAAAGATAAATGTAAGCATTTATAAATTTATGAAAATAGAGTGATTCTGATGGCATTGTACCTAAAATCAGTTAAGAAATTAGAACTCTGATTATTTAATAATGCTACTTTTCTAACTATATAGAATAAAATAATATTACACGATTTAAAATAAAATTCAGAATGATATCATTTTTAATTAAATACATCACGAATTTCACTAGCATCATAACTCATGTTTGCTTATCACATAAGTTCCAAAATGAATCTTTGGTAAAACCATCTCTAGTTTCAAAAAATTAATTTAAACTCAAATTAAAGAATATGTATTTTCTTTTTATTAATCTATGAAACAATTTTAGCTACATTTACTTCACTAATAATTATTAAAAATGTTTTTATAATTAGCATTAAAACTATACACATTTTCTAACACTATTTTTAATTTTCCTTATTATCAGTACTAATGTTTCGGATATTGATTTCTCTGGGAATACTGTTAACTAAGTAAAAAAGATGTCGATTTTCAAAAGACATTATATTGTAAACAACAGATTCTTTTTCACTTCCACCACCTATAGTAGTACCTCCAAAAAACAGCTGAACTTATTAATAAATTTATTAGAAGATAATGTGTAAACATAATAACTAAAATTCATATTACCTGATTATGATTTTTTTCTTTATACTTAAGGTAGAGAAAATTTGTAAAGAGAGACCTTTCGCTTTTAATTGCTGCAAAAATAAAGGTATGTGTTTTGCAAATACATGCATATACGGTGTAACATCTGCCTTCTGATAAAGTCCAGTATTTTGTAAAGAATTTACATAACTCTGAGTTGAACAACAAAAAATTTGAATCCAATTTTCTGCGTCAACCTTATATTGATAAATTTCTTGATCGGAAAGTTGTGATCATCATAAAACATTATATAATTAGTAAAATTCATGCCATAATTGTTCAATATCTTTTCCACATATGCCTAAAATAAACTGATTTACTGAAAATTTTTCTAACATTCTTTTTTTATCAGAACCCATTAACAAAGTCCAATTCCACTTATTACTTGTAGATTTAAAAAATTTAAACTGAATTCCAAGATTTTTAAATGTTGCTTTAATAATTAGTTTGATTTGTTTTTCAAATTCTTTTTTTTTAAATAAATTACTAAAAAAACATTCCATTAAAGTATCTGCTATGCGCAAGAGCAAATGCAACTTATCAGAAATATAATTTTCTTGATCAATTGCTAGAAATAAGGCTAGTTTTTTAATATCTAATAAAAAAAATAATATATATAACAGTCAGATATATTATATATTAAAAAAATTTTAACTTTTTGAATTTTAAATATTTTACTTCAATGTAATATTTGTAATCAATTTAAAATCTGTCAATTCAACTATATAAAATTAGCTTAGTTAATTATATGCAATACCAAACTCAAATCGACTCTATCAAGTCAATTTTCTAAACCGATTTTATTAATTACAGTATATAATTTTAAATTGATTATAATCACTACTTCACAAACAGAAATCTTATCAACTCTGAAAAAAAAATTTAGTTTTTGTGATGTTAAAATCAATTTTTCAATATCGAATTTAATAAAATATAATTACCATACAAGTGCAAAATAACACTCAGATATGCCCATATGTATTATTTCAACATAAGTTAATTTTTCAAACCAACCTTCTATAAATGCATGTCATTATGAACATATGCATAGTGATGGGAAAAATGCGCATTAATGCACATGAAATATTTCATGCACATGATATCGCATGATAAAAAAAAAAGAAAAAAAAAGAAAAAATGATTAAGAGAAGAGAAATCTTAATGCGATAAAATGCGCATGAAACAGAATTATGCACATGAATACACATTAATGCGCATGATTCCACAATCATGTGCATGCATAAACCCATCTTTATATATGCACTTGTGAAATTAATTAAATTAGACTTTTCAAATAATATGCCATATAAAAGTAAGACATATATGAAATGCACTTATAGATAGTATGCTTGTGAAGGGTTAACTGTATATGTGTGATGCCAAGAAAAATGGAACTTCAATCATATAAAACTTATATGATTGAAGTTCTATTTTCCCTTAGCATCACTCATATTATTTGTTGCGATAATAGTTATTTGCCATATTGAGATGTGAGCTAATGGAATGCACATGAGCATTAATTCAAGACCATGTAGGCTATTTTGAAACTCTCAATTATAATACCTACAAGTGTTATTTCACACTTATACGACAGTATTTAGAATTGATAATTTTGTTGATAATTCTGTAATGCAGAAGTAAAATATTCAAAAATTAAAAATTTTAATATTTTATTATATAATAATTATAAATTTACATCTAAAATTCCCTGTATTGGTCTAATTTTGATCTATGTCCCATCAAGATTTCATATCACAATTATAGTATAGACAAAAGTAATTAGCATTTGGAGCCTTTAATTCTATTATAATATACATGAACTTCCAATTTCTACAAAAATAGAATTCTACTGGCCAATGGATACCATCACAATCAAAAAAACCATTGTTTTTTAGATCTAAAAGCTGATATTCGAATATACGTCCAACCTTCACCAATGTATTATAATTCTCATGCCCGATATACAAACAAATACTTAAATAACAAGCAATTAAAATTTATAATTAAAATGACAACTGATTAAAATTATTTATAAAACCTACCAATATTGATAATCAGGCTTTAAAACTTGACTACCCTCATTTAAAAGACAAAATGTTATCATTACATAGTTTTGTTTGTGACCTACATTATAGCCATTATCTCCAAGTTTTAATCTATTCGTATCTTCTGAAATAAGAATTGGCGGAGAAGAATGTTTCCAAATAGGAAGCAAGATATCTAAAACAGATTTTATTGATCTATAAACACCATTTCCTATTTCTAATTGTTCAACCATTATTTTTTCACTATGTTCAAGTGAAATATTATCAGCAGAACTGCATTGGTTATCTATATTAACATTAAATGTTCCAATTTTGATTCTTTTATTTATTATATTTGTTATTTCAATCCTTCGTGCAGTGACTTGGTGCTCTTGAATAAGTCAAGGCTCAACAGCAGCCAATCGACAGTAGCTATCTTGGGATAACAAAGATTCATCACATGCTCGAACAATGGCATCTGATTTAGCAAGCTTCATTTTTTGATTAAACAGCTAGTAATTTAAATTAATGATATTATTATTAACATTGTTAATATTTAATTGAATATTACACACATAAACAATAGGCTGCTTATTTTTGGCAACTAATCGATGACGTGTAATTAGTGCTGAAAGTTCTTTTTTAGAGTCTTTTCCAAAAGCGACCAATTACTTATTTTGCCCTGATATTGATTGTATAGTTGAAAAAAGACATTTTCTAATACACTTTTTATTAAATGTTGTTGGTATTGAAGTTATTTCGGTTCTGTTTTCAAATTTAATTGTTTATCTGAATTTTCACCATTAGCAGACTTTAAGTACCATTCAAATGCCTTTTTTTCATCTTTATAAACACCTATACCATCCTAATAGCAATTTCCAACACTTAGTCATCCATCAATATTTCCACATTTAGCTGATTTTAAATACTACTCGAATGCTTTTTTTGCATCTTTAGAAAGGCCTATTCTATTTTGGTAGCATTTTCCAATACTTAATTGTCCATTGAAATTTTCACACTTAGCGGATTTTAAATACCATTCTGATGCCCTTTTTTCATCTTTGGGAACACCTATTCCATTTCAGTAACAATTTCTAACACTTAATTGTCTATTGGAATTTCCACTTCTGGCTGATTTCAAGTACCATTCAACTGCCCTTTTTTCATTTTTAGAAATGTCTATTTCATTTAGATAACAGTTTCCAATACTTAATTGTCTATCAGAATTTCTACTTCCTGCAGATTTCAAGTACCATTCAAATGCCTTTTCCTCATCTTTAATAATGCCTATTCTATTTTGGTAACAATATTCAACATTTAAGCTTCTATCAGAATTTCCACCTTTGGCAGACTTTATATACCATTCAAATGCTTTTTTTTTATCTTTAGAAATGCCTATCCCTTTTTGATAGCAATTTCCGACACTTAACTGTCCATTAGAACTTCCACCCTTAGCAGATTTTAAGAACTATTCAAGTGCTCTCTTCTCATCTTAAGGAATGTCTATACTGCTTTGATAACAATTTCTAGTATTGAATTGTTCGTTAGAATTATTTTCATTATGCTTTTTGTCAATCTTATAAACTGAATTTAATCTATGTTTCTGTTTTTTACTTGGGCTTAAATTTCTATCAAATACTACCAATTCAGTATAATGTTTTTGACAAAGTTGATCATTTAAACTAAGTTTAACCTTTAAATTTGGAGTGGCAGGACTTTGCATAGCTTTAAGCAAAAGATTTGGTATTAGTTTGTGAAACTTTTCTCTAAGGTCGTCATTGCCACATATTGTGCATGGACCCATATTTTTACGTCATGATTCCTTTGGCATTGTCACTAATAAGTTTTTATTCTTGCGGGATCTTAAAAAACCATTGCGGGATTTTTAAAACTAAAGTCTTATTAAATATAAAAATAAAATTTCAAACTGTTATATATTTGGAAAAAACAGTATAGTTCTATTTTTACAAAGCTCTAAATATTACTAATATTTACTATTTGTAATTAAATTAATCAACCAATCAACGTTATTTTTACAATAATCACATTTTTTTTGTGATCAGAGTCAAATCCACCGGTACACACTATCATATCTGTCCTAAATGTTTTTTTCCAATTAGTTGTACTAAGAGAAATGATCAATATTACCCTAATGAAAAATATATCACTAAAAACAATAAAGTCTATCATCTTATCTGCATGATTGCTTTATCTCAACATGAAGCTAGCTCATCTCAAACTAAGAAAAACCTTACTCAAATCTTCCAAAACATTCTACATGAATCCTTTCACATCATCAATTCTTTTATTACCTTTTCTCATCAAACTTCTACCTTTTCTAATCTTATCGATTCTTTTTTTACTACAACTATCAATACTAACTCTATCTCTAATTAATCTTCTATTACTAATACTCCTGATAATGTCAACTTAAATCTTAATAATTCAACAATACTAACCCATTTAACAGTACTTCTAGCAAACCTTCTCTTCAAACTTATTCTAGTATTGCTAAACCAAAATCTAATCCTATATATGACTGACTTACAAATTTTTCAATTACTGAAGAAATGCAATTTAACAAAAAATTACAAACTATATTTTTTTTCAACTTTTTACTTTTTTAAAAAATTTCTTTATAATTTTTATCTTGGTAAAGAAATTAAGTCTGCCACCTCTACTCAATTTGCATTCAAGACCTTATTTTATTATATTATCCATAACATGGCTAAACAACAGCCAGAATTCTTAACTAATCTTATCTATAGTAGCAATTCTAATATTAACAAAAGTGCTACTAGTCCTTTTGATCTTCTTGAATCTACTCTCAAAAATCTACTTCTTAAATTCACAATTGTTCTTTTCACAAAACTTAACTATCTTGAAATCTTTGCCTCATCAGTAATCATCCTTTCATATACTGCTCATAATCATCTTAATTTTGCATGACTTCACTTCTTTTTATCCAATAACTACCAATCTATCAATTACCAAAAATTTACTGAAGATTTAAAGCTTAGACCTAAAAAGTTCAAAATTGAATCTTTTATTCAAACTACTGATTTTGACCAAAAATACCTTACTATTCAATTAGATGCTAGATTTAATATCAAGCTTTTTTTTAATATTCCTAAATCACTATTTCTTGAAAGATTTTGCATTTCATCTCTAAAAAACTCTCTTGATCACTTTAATTCTTGGTTTGAAACCTACTACCCTTTTTATAGCTGACAATTCTTTTCTACTATTGATAAAGAAAAAGTCAAACTTCACTTTGAATTCAATTCTGTTAGCACTTTATTCTTCAACTCTCCAAGCATCTTCCTGAATTCTATATATTTCAAAAACCTAATTTATTTAATGAGTAATATAAGAAAGCATCTTATGTTACAAATTTTCATTGCCTTACTTGTAACAACAAATCATGTCAATATCTTAATGATAAAAATTTTATGATAGTACTAAACTTTCCAATAACATATTAAGCAAATCTCACTTAATATTTTTTTCTCAAGATAATAAAACATGGATTTACCCAATCTTTAACACTACATTATTTCACAAAAACAAAAAACAAACTGTCTTACTTGACCAATCTATTTCTACTAAAGCTTTTGACAAACTAGCAGACCAAGCTAAAGACTTTGTTTATAAACAAAACAAAATTAAAACAAATCCAAAATATTACAACTATTACTTTTACTGCTATCTCTTTCTATATTACTAAACTGCTGCAGAAAATTACAATATACAGTCTTTTTCCAAGGAAAAAGCAATCAATTTATTAACCAAAAACATTATTAACATTAAATTTCTTGCCCAAATCATTACCTATTTCAATGTTGTCAAAACCCAAAAATCAACCTATTTACAAATTATTAAATACTTTAATGATACTGCTTATCTAGCAGCTAAAAAATTTTTAGTAAAAAAATTCAATCTTGACTTCCAACCTGTTTTCATCTTTGACTTACTCTTCTTACAATCTCCTTTTTAAGTTCTTTGTCTTCTATAATATACATTAAAGCAGCTACCACCTTATTAAAAGATACAACTATTGTAGTTAATAAGAAAAATGATATAAGTAGACAGGTAGACAAGTCTATTTATATGGAAGGCCAAGTTAATGACAGTTAGACCTAATGTACAAAGCAGGCTATGGTACCTTGTACAGCTGTAAGAGCCAAGCATAAGGTAATCGATCCTGTAAAAGATAATTTTGAAAGATCATTTACAACATCTTTAATCTTCTATGATTTTCATACATGCTTTAACAAATTCCTTCTCTATTACAATTTACCACTTCTCTCTTATGATCAAACTATTCAAATCTTAATTCAACATATTAACAAACATAATAACAACAAAACTGTATCTAGTATTATATTTTCTGTTAACTCATTTTATAATGAAACCTACATATACCTTTCTAATAATACTCTCTTGTTAGATCATATAATTATTGCTTAACATCTTCTTCCTCTATTCTATAACCTCTCTCTCAAATTCAACTTCTTTAGCTCTACTTTTATTTTATTTAACTCCTTTTCTAATGACTATTACTTAACTCCTATTGACTATAACTCTGCTTTACATTCTTCTGACTCATGTTTTTATCACTTTAACCTAACTATCACTATACACAATATCAGAGGCTTTAATAATCCAACAAAAGGAGAAGCCTGACAAGATTATTGTCTTAACAATAACATATCTATTGCCAGCATTACTAAAACAAAAATTTCCAATAAAACTAACTTTTTTTTCTGCAACAACAATTTTTTCACCTACTACTGGTTTAACTCTTCTACTTCCATAGAAGAGACAGCTATTATGATTTATAATCATCTTAAACCTCATATTCATAGTGTTCATACTCATCTAGAAGGAGCCATTGCACTTAATATTTTCTTTCAAAACAATGTCAAACTTCATATTATCTCAGTATACCTCTCATCTACTAACATAACTATTTGCAACCAAACTTAAAACACAGTAATCAACTGGATTCAACAAGCTTCTCAACTCCACCTTCATCTATTATTCTTGGTAACTTTAATATACAGGATCATACTTATAGTTCTTCTTTCAAATATAAACTCATCAACTTTCTTAATTACTTCAATCTGTATGATATTGGAGTCTATTTTAATAACAAACACTTTATTTGATCTAACAATATTAGCAGTAGTTACATTGACTACATTTGGACTAACCAATTTAATATACAATTCCTTCTTTCCTATAATCTTGACAACAGTCAAACCTCTATCTCAAGTGACCACTTGATCCTTATCTTCACCTAGACATTCCTACATGCCTACAATAAACCTCTATAAAAACATACTAAAATTAGTTATCATATATTTAATTATAAAATAATGACTACAGAAGACTGGAACTCTTTTGCTGATACTTTAACTTAATAACTTTCACTATACAAAACTCCTATTAACAGTACTACTGATGAAAGTATTGAAACTACTTGGCACAAAATTCAATGCTCTATAATCTATTCTGCCACTCATACAATCCCTAACAAAATCTCTCGCAACAAAGTTACAATCACCAATACTCACCTCATAGTACTTTATTACATCTCTCTCTTAAAAACTTAGACATACTATTAAACTTGTTAAAAAACTTATCCAATTTTCTAATATCTTAAGTATTAACCAAAACATGTTCCAAATTAATAAACAGTTACAATGTGATCTTCAATTACTCATCTCTACTAACCTTTTCTGTATTCAACTATGGCTTCAACATGCTCACTTCATTTAAAAACAACTTTATCATGCCCATCATCTTGAAAACTCTCTTCTACTTCAACAACAAATTAATAAAGCCACTGACAAAAGATGTATTATTCTTACAACACATCCTACTCAGGCTATTAATAGCTTTCTTAACTGCTATCATCAACCTGTTTATCTTTCAAACATAAAATTACCAAACTAACTCATTACAGATCTATTACTTATTAAACAATATGTCCAATTCTATTTTCATGATTGAACTGCACTCAGGCTATTAATGAAAGCCTTTTTAATAATTTTTGGCAACAACAATACCTTTCACTTTCTCAGATCAATCCAAATTGGTATTATTTACTTAACATTCTCATTACTAATGAAGAACTTATTCAAACTCTCTCACAACTATCTAATAACAAAGCCTGTGGTTCTATAGGCATTAGTTATGAAATGCTTAAACACATTAGCTTCTAATACACTTTTGCTATCACAGCTCTCTTTAATCATTGTCTTCTTGACAACAGAATTCCTAAATAATGAAAACATAATAAAATTTATCCTATTCCTAAACACAACATCTTTGATAATAACCTTAATCTCATATGACCTATCAGTTTAATTGAACACATTCACAAACTTTACACAAAAATTCTTACAAACTAACTTAGCTCTGTATTTTCTTCAAATCCTATTCTCTCACCTTTTAACTATGTTGCACTTCCTAATAATAGTACTTCAATTTTTATTCATATTCTCAATAATTTTATTAAAGATGCTACTTGTAATCACAAAGACATTTGATTACTCTCACAAAATATGAGCAAAGCATACGATTCTATAAACTTTGCTCTTTTTAAACATTTACTTTCTTGTCTCTCACTCTCCTCATTCATCATCAACATTCTTATTGATCTTCTTACTAATCATCACAACCAAGTTATTACCAATCTTGGTCTTACTCTCTCTTATTCGGTTCACAATGGTATTGACCAAGATGAAACAATTACATTTTTATTATGGTAAATTTATTACGATCCACTTTTTTTAT